AAGACTAAACAGCGACTAAGGAGAAGCTCTTTCACCGCATGAGTTTGTGCTTTTATCTTTTTCAAAGTAGGTATTTCCAGTGGGAAAGGGTAAAATAATAATTCCCCTGGATTATTCTTTGGGAAGCATTGCTTCGATCGGTGACTGAGACCCACGCGAAAACATTAACTCACGATCATTTGGGGGAACAGCAGCACACCTCCTGACTACTGTATTTAAGTCGGAGTGGGTCAGCATCTCCAAACCTGGGGTGGCCCAGAGAGCTGCTGTTGCTCCCGAAATCATCCCCTACTGAGTTTACGGGAGAGGGAGCTATCAAACCTCGATGACTCAGGCTTGTTTTCACAAGGCATATGCAGAGGGGTTTTTGGGGGGCTCCTGTGAAGTCCTGCACCTTGTCTAGGTCTCTTGGGGTCTCCTGCCCTACCTTTCTACGCTTTGAGGCGTCCACGTTAGCCCCGCACGCTGGTGCGCCGCACCAAGCTAATCATCGGCACGGAGAGAAAGGATATTGTCAGAGTGCAAAATGATCTGTTTTCAGGCAGGAAGCAGTCAACTAGATGTAAATTCCATGAAACAAAAGAAGGTATTATTTGCAGTTTTATTGTGATGTTAATTAATATTTACATCTTGGAATGAAAAATAGAAATGTTAATGATTGGCTTTACTAAGAGGATCACTTGATGCCAATGTGAAAGCCAGGGAGAGAAGGCAATTATGCAAACATCACATGCATCCTAATTTCAGTATGGAAACTTACATTTCAAACCTCAATTCAGGAAAATAACATGGAAAGTTTGTACTACAAAATCTAAACATGAGAAAGATTTAAGAGAAAAAAAAGCACATTGCATATGTCAGATAATCTAGTCTGATTATCTGAGCTGTGCTAGCTACAGGGAAGCACTTACCCTTGAGTCCAGCTAGAAGTTAGCAGGGTAAGAAGGAACAAACCAGAATAACATAAAGACTAGCAACAAGGCTCAGGAAAGCAGACAGGAGCCCTAACCTAGCAGCTAAATACTTGGGTTCAAGCAAAGAATGAAAAAGAAACTTAAAGAAAATCAAACCAACCAAAAAAACCAAAACTTACAGCTGAAAATTTCTTAAGCAGCTCAATAAACCTCACTACTTATTATGGGGGAACAAATCATTACAAATTCTTGAAACAACCAACTCTTTGTATATGGTGTGATTAACAGTCATTAAATATAAACAGACATTAAAAAATAAAATATAACCACAAGTGATACGTAAAACAAGTACAGACCAATCTTTCGTGTTAAAAAGAAAAGGGTTTAAAAAAAAAAAAGAACATTCAGCATGTTTGGGAATTTTGTTGGATGTATCACTAACACAGAATGAACAAAGATTGGTGCTTTCAGACAAGTGACCACTTTTATGAAGCTTAAATATTGCCAAAAGGTGTAATATGTATTGGCAGCATTATTGACTATAATACTGTGCATGATTTCAACAGTAAACAAGAACAGTTTTGGGTTTTTTCTTTTATAATGCGAACATTGGAGAAAAGCACAGCTTTGCGTGAATGGAGTTTTTCTTTCAAATTGTAGCAAAATAAAAAAAGCAAAACCTTTCACTCTAACAGGTATTGTTCACCCACATAAAAAGAATTGTAGAGTCATACAAAAATTAATGAATAGCAGGATCTATTTTTTTTTCAGTACGTAAATTGCAAATAAAATAAACTCCACCCTGTTTCGGAGCTGTCTGTTCACTGCCGAGTCAAGTGCTGCTATCGAACTGCCGATGAGAATTTGAGTGGTGCTCGAAGTTTGTATTTACTAAGTCAAAAGAGGTGGGAACCAAATGAATTCACTATTTCTCCCAAGTTTCCCCAAAAGCAAAATATGTTCTTCTCAAGTTTCTGTTTGACAGACAGCTCCATCACAGGAGCAGAGGGCTGGATTTTCTCTGCACGTGCATGCATGCGCATGTGCCATCTCGGACTGCTACGACATGAAAGCTGTAACAACAGTTACTCATCAAATGGCTTAACCTCATTCACCATAGCCTCTAATAAGCACAAAAAAATGACAAGTATAAAGATAAATGTACAAGAATAAAATGTCTTGCAAAAGTCCTTACCTTTCTGCAGGGGAAAAAACCAAAAACAACCAAACAAAAAAACCCAAGCCAAAAAAACCCAATAACAAACCAAGACCCTTTTAAAAATGCAATACTTGATATGTTTGAATTTCAAGACTGAAGGAGCCGAGATATGTATTTGTGCATTGAAGGCTCCCGACAAGCCATCATGTGTGGCATGCATGACTCACTTCTGCTTCGGATTATTTAACTGCTGCGTCCAACGACTTTTGCAATGAGCATTGCCACGTACAAACATTGAAATATGAAAAATGAGTAGGTCTTGCTATCGAGATGAAGGTGTACTATGGCGTGCTGCCCTCCTCCTCTTGTAAGATGACGGTCCTGTGCACAAAGAGCTGTCAGAGGGATCTAGGTCCAACGGAGGAGGAGGAAGGAAGACCAAGGACAAAACACATTAGCCCAGAGGACGCTGAAGTAGCAAGTCATCATCAGACTGAGGAGCCAACTGGTTTCCCCCTTCCACGCTTTGGCACAACACAACCAAGAGGGTTTCCCAGTGCCTGCAGCAGAAAGGGGAGCCTGAAGCTGCCCAGCTTATGGGGAAAACACATTGTGGATGGAAAGAGGGTGGCGGCACAAAAGAAGACAAATAATCAGGATTTGGAGCTGGTATCGGCATGAGAACCAGCGAGAGAACCTGAGTTCAGATCCTGACCCCCTCAGATGCCCTGGGCGCACCAGAGGGTGACATCTCGGCTATTTTCACCAGAAGTGAGGATGAGGGATCCCTGCCTCCTGGCAGGCAAGTGAGATGGGAGAAAGCAAGGTCAAACCTGTGGCACTGCTACAGCTCTGAGCACAGCCAGGCTGACACAGCCTGCGGGACCACGAGCAGCACAAGTCTCTGGTGGAGGTGCTGGGCTGCAGTTAGATGCAGAGCGGACTCCCGGGCTCAGTCACTCACTTCACTGCTCCCTGGCAAGGACTAGGACAAATCAGCTGCCCCTTCTCCATCCCAGGTAAGCTAAGCAGGGGGGTTCAGCTCTCTCCACGCACACTGCGCTGGCTATGCATGGGGACAACACATCCGAAGGTCCACAGCCCCTGGCATCCCCTTTCCCTCCCCAAACTCCCGGCAGCTACAGCTGCTGCCAGGCAATTAGGCTGTGTCTGGGAAAGGGACCCTTCACCTGACCTCACGTATTGGTCTGGCAAAGTGAAAACTCTGTAAACATCAGGAATTTACCCAGCAGAAATATTCTCCAGGCCTGATGTCTGCAAAAAAAGGTGCTTCCCCAGTTTCACATTCTCTCGCTGGCCTCACCCCAATCCGCAGGGACCATCCTGGGGTGAGCAGGAGCGCATCCTTTTTGCACCAACCACACAGCTAAGAGCATCATTCAGCGTCGCCTGTTGGGAGAGGGAGCCACAAGCAGCACCCCTCTGCCGCTCTCCCTTGCTACACTTTGAAGGCTTTTAGCATGTAAAAAAGCAGCAGTAGAAGGACCCGTGCCTGCTATTTCCAAGAACTCTTTGACTAAACGTTCTGGGCAGAGGACACACAATCCCTGGGAGTGCTCCCAGGTCAGCTCAACTCAGCCAGGTCTAGAGGCTAATCACAGGCTGCAAACATCCCACTTACCAGAGGCCAATTCCCACCTCCCTTTTTGGCTTTCTGAGAGGCATCCTTCCTGCCCGACACCGATCCTTTACACCTTGCATCCCCAAAGTCAGTGACCTGACTGGGACGAAGAGGATGAGGGTCACTGAAATGAAAATGCTGACTATAGGTTTACCACGCTGCATCATGCTACGTCTCACTGACAGCAGCTGCAATGCAAGGTAGAAGGGAGTCCAAAATATGCAGGCATGTGGAGGATACTAAAAAAAAAAAGCAGCAAGCAGAGGTTTTCTTCTGTAACATTGATTGTACAGTTGTATGTCTTGCACTGTTATTTTCTATAAATACTGACTATGCCATAAAATATAGAGTTAAACCAATATAAAAGACAGTCAAATGATATTGATAAGTAAGGGGCGGATTTTCTGAGTTCCTTACAACAAAATACTCCGTAACAGCTTTACAGAGACTATTTTCAATGTCAAAATCTGATTTAACTAGAAGAATCTGCTAATATTTACCACTTTTCCTTATTTTGCTTACATGATGTAATGGTACAAATTCTTAAATTTTGCTGAAACTAGCAAGAACTGCTGTATGTTACATAACAAAGGGGCTCCAGACGCGTGATCGAGACCTTCAGGAAAAATGAGCGAGGAGGCATTTGTCTGGTTTATAATCAAATTACATTTGCAAGACAAAAGAAATTGCTCTAAATTTCAAATTAAGCAAACTGGGTATAACTGCACAGGACATGCAGCACAGCTACGACTTAAAAGATGATTGCTTTAAATTCACATCTAACTGGCCTGCAAAGCAACCTGTTAAAAATACCATATGTTTTCCCACAGTTGAATATTCAACAGGAGACCTCTTTTTGTGTGTGCATTTCATACTTGCAAGATTTGCACCTGTAGTGCTGAGCACATGATGCATTTGATAGACAGCTAATGGCGCTAATGAATCGCTCTGATCTGGGTGTGCAGTTTATTGTATGTGGGTAAAACGTGTGTCTGCAGAAAGCAAGCTGCGTCTCAGGCTCTCAGATCCCAGTCTCTCCTCCATCAAGTATTGCACTTTAAAATACTCATTGACAAGGTCCCCAAGGAATTTTGTTTCTTGGGTTTGGTTGTGCTAAACACACAGGTTAACTGCTTCTGGATCCACTGATGTAAAAAGCAGCTTAATGATAATGAAAAAAATTTCATTTTGGAGTCAGAAACATGTGTGCAAATATTGGTTTACATCAGTGCAGAAAATCTTTCCATCAAAGACTTCTGCTCTCTAGGAGAACGTATTTACTTACAAAATTGAGAGATTGGGGCATCTAGCTGGGGTACATTTCCTCCTTTAGCATTTAGCTTTTGCACTTGGGTAGGCGGCACAGGTTTGTGAGACTGGCCGGTGGCTCGGTACATGGCTTGGACCCACAGGATACGGTCCTGCTCATCGTCACTTGCAAAAATCACCGTATCGCCTTCCTTCACAGCGTTGAAGAATGCTCTGCCGCCCTCCAAACCTGGCAGGAGAGGAAGCGACAACAGAGTTTCGCAGACTTTGAGGCCAGCCAGGGGATCTCCCCCAGCTTCCCACCCCATCGCTGCCCCGGGCATCCCCAGCCAGCCCCATGCTGCCCCAGCTCGTGGCTGAGCTCAGTCTCCTCCCCTGCACCAAACTCACCTGTGAGGGAACCCACCAGGTCCCCAGGTAGCACCCTGCACCGTGATTACTAAAACATGCTCCAACACACTCTGATTAATTGCTTCTCTCACCTCCAGTCCCGTTGGTGCAGGTCCCATGCGGGTTGCACCGCTGGAGTCCCATCAAAAATGAGTTTTGTGGGGATGTGGTGGGAGGTTTCCCATTAGAGCGAGGGCATCAGTGCTTACACTGCACAAAAGGTGCTTGGGTAATGTGCTTATTTCTGTCTTTGCCCTGATTCAGCACTCATCTTCCCATCTCCCTAACATCAGAATTAACCTGGAATCAAGGCCTTGACAACCAACCCACTATGTCTTTCTTCATCTCCTCTGGAGATATCATTATCCAGGGCATGGTGAGGATCACCACGCTCAAGGTGTCGCCCTATTGAAATAAAAGCAATGTGGTGCTCCTCCACTTGAAGAAGGGTCTCAGCGCCATGGACACAACAGGTATCCCCGGGTACCGGGGGGCTTTCTGCCCCTGCCCCTTCCACTCACATCTATCAGAGAGAAAATGGGGCAGGCAAAAGTGCTGGGTTGGTCCCATAAATATTTTCCACAATACAGGTATAGCTGCTAACCTTTTATTTAGGGAACATAATCTGAAGGCACAGATTAGGATCATCACTCAATTTGAGCATTCCATTCACAATCAAATTTCATGGGGATTTAAGTGTCTAATTCACTTAGGCTCCCCGGAGAAGAGGAGTCTTTCCCTCCTCTGGTGCAACTCCTAGCTCAATTCCTTAGATCTATTTATAGTAAAGTCATGCATAGCTAATGATCAGTATAAACACAAACATATTTACAATAATGCTGATCACAGTTCAGCTGCAGGCAGGGGGAGAGAGAGGACTCCCGTTTGGGAGCTGTACGCAGCCTGGCGAGCACGAGCACCCGCGGGCGCAGCAGCGAGCTGTCGAAGCCCCCGTACCTGGCTGTGGGTCGGTGTAGTCCACAGTGTATCCGTCGAGCTGCAGCAGCTCTTGAGGTTCAGCTTTTTTCTCCCGGTAGCTGCACATAGCAAATGTGTATTGGCTAACCTGAAGAAAATCACAAAGCTAAGATGGCACCGGGTGATCACGACACGGCAATCCAAAGCGCTTACAAATGCCGCAGGCTGACGGTGTCTTTGCAGGGGCCGAGGGGGTGTGGGGTAATTTTGGTGGTCATTGCCCATATGAGACAGACTAAACTTTTTACCGGGCTTTTACAAAGCTCTTAACGCACCCTGCTGCGGCAGGCATCTAATTCTCTGCATCAGTACATACAGCGGTTTAATTTCCTCCAAAAGAGGAAGCTCCACGCTTTAAAAACCCTCTATCATTCATCCCCAGACAAGTGCAAGAGTGACACCCTGTCACAAACAATGTGAGCTAAATTGCGAGGTGCCAGTCATATTAAAGCAATCTTAAGATCCCACTGATCTCGGCAGTTGTTGTCATCAGTGCTGTAAATGGCAGCTCTCACTCCTCTGAGGTACCATCTGCATGACACGATACATTCAATGTCAAGCTCTTGACGGAAGCCGACTCAGCTGCGGGGGCTCTGCCAGGCTCCCAAATCGCCTTTGGGAGGCCATCAGGCTGCATCAAGACCCCGCGCGTACTCGGCGTGCTGCGATCTGGATGGTCGGCGAGAAGCTCGACCAGGGAGGAGAGGAGAGGATTCTCCGTGCCCCAGGCTAGGAACTCACGGGGAAATTTACTGTCAAATGATTTCAAATGACTTTGTTAAGGTTGTGTCACATCCTGGACGCCTGACGTAATTTTATTAGTCTGGACATTTTCTTGACCTCTGGAGGAAACTTTGAAACTCTGGTGGGTGGCGATGGATGGTGGTCGTCATTTTTCGGAAGTGAGGAAAGATCCTGAAAGGCAGGCGAATGGCTGGGCTGGGGGATTTTGCCTCCAAACTCCAGACAAATCGCTCAGCTACAAATACACATGCAGCACCTATTTTGGTGGCATCTATCGCTAATAAAATGTCATTTATTTAAGTCGGGGCACTCGTCTACTGGCGTAGCGTCTCCCAGCCGGCGCTCGGTATATTGCTGCCCTCTATGGGCTTCTGCTAGCTGCCAGCCTGCTCTCAGCAGCCCTGCCTGCACCCTGCCTTCCTCCAGGAACAGCTCCAAAAGCCACCTAAGAATAAACCCTATCATTAACACATTTGTGGGAGTAAAACTAAAAGTGATGCTTCAAGCATCTTGCATCCTCCTTAAAACTACCAGCACTGACGAAAAGATTGACAAGTAGCAGACCAATAGCAGGAGCACACCAGTGCATATTCTCTGCTATGAACTTTGAATGCATAACGTCGTACCGGCAACACAAAAATTAAAAAGATTAACACGAAGAAATCTAAAAATAATCTAGTGCCCCACAGCACAATATTCAGCCGACTCCCGCAGTGTTCATTCAGTTACACTTGCAGTATATTGCTGCCATCTCCTGGACAAACTCCTGAATGTGCTTTATTTATGGTAAGATCCTGGAGAATTCATCTGAGCGGTGAGGATTTGATTTCTCTGTGTTAGACAGCCTGAACTTCAGGGATTGCATGATAAATTTAATTTCTGAAATGAGTCAGTGCTAACCTACGCTGACATTGATCGAAAATTTTAATACAACTAATGTTTTTTTCTTCTCCTGTACGCTCTATAGCAACAGGTAAAATTCATTCAGTAGTTCAGTTTCTTCTTCTCTGACCCTGAAAGTGAGGTATGAATTTCAGTCTCTTCTTCATGCACAAATAACTCCTCTCACCTTTGGACCCAGAAAATATTCTTAATCCCTACCAATAAGCCAACCATACCAACACAACAGTAATGTATGGAAACACACGCAGGCATTTCAGAGTTTATACTTCTCATGTTAAAAGTTATAAAAGACAGATGTAGACAGTAGGCTCTGGTGTAGCCCTCCTGGGACAGAGGTGAAGTAAACTGGTCTCTCCTGTTGGCATTCACACGATCTCCTTGGAAAAAGCTTCCCTACGTCATTAGAGACCTCTAAGAGAAACCTACAGGTGGGTCTACAACGTGCGATAAGCCAGGGCTGATCTGGTTTATGTCCTACTTCTCTACTAACACAGCCCAAGTGTGAAGCCCAAGCCGAGGATTGCCCAAGAGCCTGCTGGCAGGAGGCAGGCTAGGATCAGGCTGGAGGGAGGAGGCAGCTATCGATGGCCTCTGGAAAAGGTGCCAACTGTGCCATGCGGAGCGCCTGCACGCAAACAACTCGAGCTACCGACTTCAAGGAGGGGCATACCAGCCTGTCTGTCCTATCCTGCTGCCTAAAGCGTTTACTGCTTGGGGTCAGAAAGAAGCTGATTCCCTGGCTACCAGTGCGATGTGGCTCCTTCCATTTATGAGCGGTGACAAAGCAAAACCAACAACACATCTAGAAAGCTCAGTATGTCATGATCGTGCTTCACTCCTGAGCAGCACTGTAGGGTCAAGTGGAGACTGCAGCTTGCCTTTCATCAGTCCTCTAAAATATCGCGCTTTACAGAGCCTGCTTTCTGTAGAAGCTTAGAAGTGGCCAGGCAAGTGAAACAGTTAATAGCAGAAATTAATCTTACCGCCTGCTGAGTTCACACCGAACCATAGCTGAGTACGAAAGCGAGCGAGCAGATGGGATAGGCAAGATGAATGGTTTGAGTAATTGGAAAAAACACAGAGACAGGGGAAACTGAAGGAAGACAGAGGAGAAATCTCTGCCCAGTGAGGGACAAACTCTCAAAGCAGCTGGGATTTCATCCAGGGACTCGATGAGGGCCAGGAAAGGAGCATCTAAGGAAGCTGAACTGAGCAAAACTAAAAGAAGGGAAATAATCCAAGGCTGCCCTCGCTGGCTCATTACAAAAAAGGGAAAACGCTTTGAGAAATACTTCAAGACAAAAGAACAGAAGGAAAAGAACGTGGGGAAAAAAGAGAAAAAGACAAAGAAATTCAGGAGAGGGGAAGCAGACAGCAGGAGACAAATGCCAAAGTTCACTATTCCTGGGCTGCTAAATTAGATCTGACTTTCTTGGCACTCGACCATATTCTGTCACCAGCTATATAATCTGACTGATTAATAAATACAGTAGATATGTATTAACCAGTCCTGACTTCGTCCTTGTTTTTCCACCAGAGACTCCTGCTCTAGCGAGCACCGCTTTCCCCAGGATCCTGCTCAAATCTGTTAATTGTCGTCCCTCACACTCCGAGCTCAGTCATCTGCCTCCCCCTTTCTCACTGTTGACATAACACCACCCCACTTGGGTTAAATTCTTAAATGGACCTTTCCTAGATTAACAGCATGCATTTTGTCCCAAGGGAGAGAAACTGTGCTAAGATACTGCCAGCTGTAATACAGCTTTCCACTTTGATGGGAGACTCTTGTCCTCTGGTTGCAGCTGTACGTTGCCTCCCGAGCCCTTTCCTGACACAAATGAGCAGAGGAAATGATCTAGCTTAAAGAAACAAATGTGAAAACAACAGTTTTCACATCTCAGCACATCCATCCAGCCCTAAACAATTGCACAGAGCAGTTGTCCTAACTTCTTCCTTCAAGCAGGAGGTGTGCGTGTACTCTCTTCGGGCAGGGCTGCATGACGGGAAGTCATCCTGCGTGAGTACGGACGGGACGTACAGGACCTACCATAGCCAAGTGTAACGAGCTGTGGCATCTATTTAACCAGCAGTTCCCAAACATCTTGTATTTATTGTCAGCACTCAACGTTTCTCAAGAATCACCACATATGCCCAGTTCTCAGCGAGGGTCTAACTGAAAACATGATTTAATATGATTATGGGGACCAGCTACGGGTCATTTACCTTGACTTGAGGACCGCAGCCTAGGACCGCTGGTGTGATACACAGCAATTTTGCTGAATTATTTTCAAATTCTGTTGGTTATTTGGAGTTACTGAACACTTACTTAATTTCATTTTATCCCGAGTCAGCTGAGTTTTGCTAAAAGCAGGAACTGTCACTGTTAGTCTAATTTATAATGAGTTCAAGGAGTCTGTCACTAGAACAATAGATCCAGGCGTAGACACTGCAACTGGTTTTAATCTGCAGAGAGTTGATTTGGTTCCAACAACATTCTGCAAACACCATCAGACACAATCAGCTGAAAACTGCTTCAAGCTACTCAGCAGACATGTCATCCAGGTACCATGGAGTGTTACTTCCCATATGCTGCCAGAGCACGGAAATGGGGTTATGACAAGAGAAGAACAGATTCAGTCTGAAATCTCAATGTAATTAATTCACTTGCCCTTAAGAATCATTATAGAAATTTCCTATCACAAAGCCAACAAACCCACCAGAACCAACAATAGTGTTGTTGCCAGTACAGCACACTAGACCTTGCACAGAATTAATACAAGCTCTGTCAGCTATCAAAAATCCCAGCTTTTGCACAATTGAGGGTCTAACTGGCAAACTGGCTGAAATGTGTATGCTGTGGATTGTATGTCGATATAGCAACTTACAGCATCTGTGGTGGATGTACATTTTCTTTCCTAACCAGTCACAGAGAACTTTGCCCTAAATTGCTCCATGGCTTTCGCTTACCACTGCCACTGGTGTTACCGTTGCCTTTACGAAGCATTTTCCTCGCTTGTGATGCTGCGGACCGTTTCCATCCAAGCTCAGGGCCATATTCTGCCATCACTTTCACGCTGCATATCTCAGGATTTAAAATTAGGCAAGTAACGAGTCTCTGCCATGTAATTTACATCTAATCAGTATTCTGCTCTTCTGCTGCTCATCTCAAAGGGTGTCTATGAGGAGGGTGGGCAGCGTGCAGAGAGGACTGCGATTCATTCGAAAGAGAAAACTATCCCCTCTTAACGCATGGTGCATGCTGAAGGAGCGTATGCACCAGCTCTGCCGGCCACACCATGCTGCAAACCTTCCCCGAGGGCTTGAACCAAGTCCACCCAGCAATGCATGCACTGGAGGGGTGAGCCCGTTCTAGCAATGGCACAAAGGAACCACTCTCACCCTCTACACCCAAACAAATCATCTCCTCTCCTGTACAGCCCTCACGGATACACTCGCACAGAAGGTGCGAGAGATTATTCCACCCAAATTACAAGGCAGTATTGCTCCTTTCCGCTTCTCACCAGGGCTAACAGAAGCCAGCTAGCACTGGAAATGCTCCCTGCAGAGCTCCTTTTTCTACGTATGCACGCAAAGCCTCTGTTCATACCGGCGAGGCATCGCTGACACAAAAGAGATGAACTGCCATCATCAACACCTTCCTCGGTGCCGCCCATGCAGTTTGGCACCTTTGTGCCGTCTTTAGATGGTTATGAAGAGTTTGAGTATTTATTACCATGAATTTCTTAACTGCTGGTAGCAGAAGGCAGAGTGGTACCACCCAACAGCATTGAAGGAACTGAGGCTGCGTCCATGTGAAATGGGGAAAGAGGGGCAGGAGGGGGCACAGGACCAGGGGGAGGAGGTTACTCTGCAAGGGAAGGGAGACAGAGCTGCAAGAGAAGATGCTACAGGGAAGTCACAGAGACAAGGGGTCAGAAAGGAAACGTTTAGTTATTCATCTGAACATACAGCTTTGCCCTCTTGGCAGTGTGACGGACTGACCCGACCACTATATCTCAAATGGACTTTATGGTTTGGACTCCATCTCTCAGCTCTGGTGCAAGGAGGAGCCTGGTACGGACAAGTGAGCTCCTGAAACAGGGGCTGCTCCTTGTCCATTCTTTACAAAACGGAGCCAGCTCACCTTCCTGCCGGGGCTATTTTCTGTCTGTGGTTTAGCCTAGTTCAGAGCATTCTGGACATCAACACCTTTGCTGCCAATCCCTGCTCGTACCGGCACCCATCCTTTGCATTGCATGAAAAGCAAATGACAAACATACGGACAGCAAAGTATTTTTATTCCATCTTTATTGCCTGCTGACATGTTCAATATGCTCAAACTACATCTGAGGGACTGCATAGAGAGTGTTTCTTGTTTATATTTGATGTACGGCAGAACACTTTACATTGCACCAAATGTTGAACAAACGGTAGCATAACAGAGAAGCTGCAGTGGCAGCTGGAATTTCTGAGGTGGGCTACAGAGACTCTCTGGGGGCAAAAGTCTGCTCATCTTATTCAAATGAATTGCTTTTCTGGCCAAATTCTGCTCTTATATGCCAACTGACGAATACAGACCTAGTAACATGAGAAAACATGGAATAACTCTGAGAGCTTCAATTCCACAGCAAGCTGGAGAATATATAGCAACTGAAAACTAGACAAGTGATTACAACCACACAGAATGGCCAGAAGAAAGGCACCTGGAGAGAGACATGGGAATCCATGTCCAAACCTGCAAACCCTTGCACAGAAGAGTATCAATAGGTTTATTTATGGGAGAAGCTATGTTAGGAAAGAAGATTCTTTGCTTTGGAGAGTCCCTGTTCACAGGGAAAAAGGGACTGAGAACTTGGTCTAATAGGAATGAATTGTCTCTCAGGGAAAAGCAATACTAGTTGCTCTATAGGTGATCACAGACTGCCACAAGCACTTAACTTCATTTCAGTATATAATAAAGGAAACATACAGAGAAAAGCAATCCCTCAACGCTTGCCTAAGAACAGGGTCACCGCACAATGTTCCCAATAGGCTTTTCCTTCATTATGGCCTCTGCCGCTTCTTACCCAGGAGACAGTTTGGGATTTAGATCCAGCGGTCTAGCTCTGCAAGACGCTGGGTTCCCCTGCAAGGTGCCAAGCACCCCTACCTCACCAGGGACCTGGCCAGTCCCTGCACAGAGGGACAGACAAACAGACAAACCAGATGCTTCTAGGAATGGATTACACAGATCCTAAATCCATCACTTTTACCTAAATGTAAGTATACTGCTTGGGCTGACAGAGGCTTCTCCTGTGGCTGCTCTAGACTAACTTGCCCAATTCTGTGGCCATTTTGACCCCATTTGGAGCACAAAACAAGCACTTAAACTATCGCTGCTGATCATACTTGGTTATTAGACTAGGTACTCAACTGGTCTCTCCAAATGGACTCCTACTTACATGGGTCACACACATCATAAATCCCTTTTACCTCGGCAGAATGGATTTTCTGAACTGCCACACAGTTTAGCACTATGGAAGCCAGCAGTGATGGACAAATGGGGAATGCAATTAAGCTTCCTACTGAGCCAGTTGAACTTGAAGTGATAATTAACCCATTTACACCGGGTGATTTAGGACCTGAGAAGCCAGCTGTCTAAAGTGGAAGATGGACCGTGTGGACAACTCCCCTTACCAGCACAGGAAAGCCAGCACACAAGCATGTTCCATCTGAAATGTGGAGCCTGGTGCACCTGGTTTGCACCATCTCAGTTCTTACACATGGGCAAAATCCCAGCCCCTCTGCAGCAGACCTGCCATCTGCTTCATCAGCAGTGGGATTTCACCTGCTGACTTGATCACTTTGGATCTTGTCTTTGCTGACACAAGATCTTAGTTGGATCCCATGTTATTCCATCAGAGCATCTCTGTGTTGCTTTCATCACAGGACCCTGCACAAAGCTTTTATTTCTCATATGTGGACACATCATATCCTGGGGAACCCAGAGGGGAAGGAGAGAGACATGGACCCAAGATGGACTCTGTGGCTTTATCTGGTTCCTGTGAGAACGGAGCTGCTCAAACTGGGGCCCCAACAATTCTGTGGCCAATGCAGTGGTTTCAGCTGCCCTTGGGAAGGTGAGGAAAGACCTAACATACCAAGTACTGACCAGATCCTTTTAGGTCACAGGGACATCTTCTGCCTGTTTCTTTGAAATTCTTAACCATAGCCAAATATACAGGTCTACTGAAACCGTGAGGGCAGAAAGTTAAAAAAAAAAAAAGGGCGAAAAAGGAAGAAAGACATCGCAAAATAGTCGATGACAGCTGCAGACAATGAGAGGCAGTAATGAACGTGAAGGCAAGATAAACATCAAGAACGAAATATTAACTCTGATGAAACTTCTGCAGATTTCAATAGACTTCAAATTTTACCTGGAGGTTCAAGAGGAAGCATTTGCACCCAAGTACCTCCAGCCAAGGCAGACCGAGCTTCCTCCTCATATTATCAATTCCTCACTAAAATTGGTTCTCCATTTCACCAAACATTCATTTGCATCAGGAAACTCACGGCTAGAGGTCTGCAGCTGGGACATCCTTGAGAAATTGTATACATTTAGAAAAAAATCCATGACTTAACAGACACCCTACACAGAACCACAGCTCTGCATCAATTATACAACGCTGAAATAGTCAGAACAAAGACTTAAATATTGCATGCTGTGATTTAAGATCACTTCTAGTTAAATCTGTTACCTGGACCAGGACAAAGAATCGTTTCTTCCATCTCTTCCAAACATTTTTACCAATGGCCCATAAATATCTAGGAGAAGAATAGGTGAATTCAGTACACAAGTGACTATATGTTGTTCTCTTGTTTTTCAGTATGTTTTCTTCACACCTAGAAACTGAAGTTAATACACAAGCAGGAGCAATTACAAGACTTAAGCTCAGCAGCATTGACGAATATATTTATTTCTAGCCTGAACAAATAATCTGTAAAGAAAGCGACACAAAAAGCTCCCAGAGTCTTAATGTTACACAGTATTAATTCTCTCTTCCTCTTTGTCTTTCACAACTTGTTAAGAATTTAGAAGCCCATTAATAGCTACGACATGGTCGGATGGGTGAAGAATACATTTGCAATGGAAAAAAATAGGGAAGAGAAACCTCAAATGCTGCTTTAAGCCTTCACAAAACCATTTGACTGAGGGGAGCTGTCAGAGAGGGATACTTACTGCATCAAAACTGGTACCTGGGTCCCAGTATCCACTGGACTGACTAAACCAGACCACTTCACTGAACAGCTTAAGATGAATTCCTAGAAATTGCTTGGCTACAGATATTCAAGCAAACTGAATAATTTCTGAGGAGTGAATTTACTGTTTTCTACAAAGGAAGAACTAACTTCTAAAATTAATGTCAAAATTAGCTGTGATGAAGCTGCCACTGTGTCACTGTAATACAAACACTGGCAAAAATAGTGGCAGCACCAGACTAATAATAAACACAAGGACATTATTCAGCATTAATATGTTTTATGTATCATTATAATTACTTTAGTTCTGGCTCAATAAATAGAAAAACAATTCCCTTCTGGTTATGCTAGTGGTTCCTTATGCCTACTCTTGGTGAATATTTAAGCCACAGAACTCGAAGTCATGCTGGGGCACTGGGTCCTTGGCTAGTTCAAGAACAGGGAAGTAATTTTCTTTTTTGCTATGGCCGCTAACATCAACAGAAAGACAATCTCAGTTCTGATAGCAAGCTAGTATTACAAACCACATACATAGTTTTAAGCAGCATCTTGTAAATCAAATGTTAGTTGAAGAAAGCATGAGAAAAGCCAGGACTGCTCAGCCCTGTTGCTACCAGCTGCAGTCAAGGAAACAAATATGATGGGTGAACTGTCCCAGTGCCTGTGATCATGGTGGAAAAATTAAACTTCACATGTGGCTATTGGCTCTCATAGTAGAGAAGACAGGAGGGGGAGGAGAAGGAATTAAAATAAAGCTGAGTGATCCAAACCATCTAATAACGGATCAAATCTAACAAAAGACTATGAAAATAAAAATGAAACAAAGTCACTTTTAAAGCACCAAAAACATACTGGAGAAAGAGTTAATCAAAACGGTGACTTTCCTGGACAGTTCCCTATTGTTCATCACATCCTCAGCACTGAAGAGCAATCAGAGGAAAGCCTTGCCGATGGCGTTAGCTAGATCTTCCCAAGGATGATCTAATTTGTAATCACACGGCATGAAGGCAGAAGCCAGGGGTGGCAGTCAGGGATCCCCCTGGCCCCAGATCTTCTGACACTCATGTCTGGAGGGGAGAGGTTTCCCTTTTAACCTGCCAGATCATTAGTCCGACTCCAGGCAACTGCTATTAAATTGCGCTGTGTATCTCTGTATAAATAATGATGATCACACTGGAGTTTATTTCAAGCAGAAGGTGCACTTTGCTTTTGGTTCTGAGAATTCAATACAGGGAAACACAGAATAATTTAGAAGATTATACCATTTTCAATAAGAGAGTTGGGCAGTTCACCTATTATTTCCTTACAGGAAAAAAATAACCTAGCAACTTCATGAAGAATACTGTTTAAAATTTAAACTGTTTGGCTGATATGCATTAAAAAGAATACACTAAGAATATGGAAAGTGCATTATAAATGACTGAACTAATGCCATTTTTATATTTATCTTTCTTTCAATAAAGAAGTTCACCTCCTGTGAACTTGAGAAAAGGAGTTTCTCTTCCAGAATCTTAAAAAAGAGAAATTTTATAATGCACATGAAAAACAAATTGAGTTCAGATTGAGACAAGCATTTACCCAGAGTGCTTCATGTTTTGAGGCTTATCCATTCGCACGGCAAGCTTGATCTTCAGGTCTTGATCCGGGCAGTTTTTGGAAACAGTCATTTTGTGCCACTCTGATTGCTTTGGGCTGTTGGGAGTAGGGTGGAGAACAACCTGCAAGTGTCAAAATCAACAACGTTAAAGGGAAAAATTAGTCACAAAATGGGTTTTAATGGGGGAAAAAAAACACATCAGATGAGCTATTTTCCCCTGAAAGTCAGTCTGGAAATTTCTACTCACATCAGTGAGGATGGCTTTTTATTGCTTTCTTAAAGCACAGCTTATTGTTTTGAGATTAGTTCATATATTCTTTGGCTGCTCTATGTAGCATGCCGTTGTTCATGGAGTTGCATAGAACAGAACTGCGTTATCAGTTCCCATCATTTAAGGAAAGACCATGGTAAATGAACTTGCAACTGCCCAGGTAAATCAGTCTAGACGTGATGGTGGACTGCTGTGATTAGCAAACCAGCAACAAGTTTTTGCTGAAGTTGCCCACTGCAGTCACCTACTTTCAGCCTCAAACAATTCAGTCAACCTCCAGCCTTCCTGACATATCCCATGTGAGGTGTGCTGTTTGGCAGGCTCAGAAAGGTCTACCTGAAATGGTTCACCTATTGCTACTATCACGTTGTGGGGAAGCTGGCTTGGTTTTTTGCTTACTGTTAAGACTGGATGAAGTAGGCGATGTTTTAGATAGGCTGGTGTGTCTGACTGCACTACGACAGCAGATAAAATCTGCATCCCATGTCATGACATCAGTGGCTGCAGGACTGTCTGCTTCCATTTCATGCAGTGAGGAAATGATGGGACGGTCTCCAGCTGGGGTAAATCAGTGCAACACCTATGACTGCAGTGGAGCTGTGCAGATGGACACCAGTGGAAGTGCCTGGCTCATCGAAGAAACTGAAAGACTCCAAGAGGCAATTAAACTCTCCTGATCATAGCTGTGCTTTTCCCACTCACCATTACCCCTACCAAGCAGAGCAGCTCACTCAGGCAGTGAGCCACAGAGTGTTCTCCCAGAACTACACCACATCCACCATCCTCTGGTGTTTTCATATGTGTCCTTTGAGGTGGCTTAACCCCCTCCCTCCTACACCCATTCCTCTTCTGATGTTTTCACTCTCAGAGTTAACTTTGCCTTGCACAACTTCATTCAAGTCTCCACTGTCCTGTAGTGAGATGAATCTCTTTTAAATCCATTAACCTTTGCGCAAGCAGATTATTTTACAAATGGCAGCATTCACCCTCGTTATTTGCTGTGCTACCATCACTCATTCCTTGCTCACGCTTAGTCTGTGCTCCTGCCAAACTCCAGTCCAGACTACAATCTTGTATTCCTATGCTTTTCAACCTTACTGCTGAATCAACAACCGAGGAGCTGTTTTCCACCAAAATATCCTTGATGCTATTACCCTCTGACAAATTATTTTAAAAATTATTTTATTGCCTCCTCCAAAGCCTGAGGATCCTCAACTTCACCCTTATTCATCAACATTATTTATCACTTCTTCTACTGAATTAGACTAATGCTTTCTCTGGCCAGAATCTGAAGCTGTTATTAGTTATACAGATAACTGAGCCACACCAGCCATTACTGCATCACTCTTGGAAAAAAACACATTTAAGCAAATCCTGAAGATGAGAAGTGAGTCCTCCACACAGCGTGTTGTTAGAAACATGGATGGACCCAAACTCCAAGCAGTATCCATGGACTCCCACTGCAAGGCAGGCCATGCAAGCACATAGACTTGCACTAAACCCCATCTCTTAGTGAGGCAGCAGCCACTTAGAGTGTTTGGGATGCTCTTTACTTTGATTTCTAACTCCTTTTCATCAAAAGGCGCATAAACTTTGTTCGGTATTGTTGTAATTCATGGCTCTTCCCCTCCTTGCTCTCAGTAGACGAAGTCTTGGCATGGCTGAAATCTGTGGGAGCCTTGCCACCGGCTTCAATAGGGCCAGGATGTATTCCCATGCTTTCAGCTGCCCATCCAGCAGTTTAGGGCTTGTGAGCATTTTCCAGTTCTCCCTTTGATAAAAGTGGTGAAACGAGGAGTGCCGGCTGGTTGCCAATTTAACACTCACAATGGAAAGTGGGCATTGTACATGCCTGGCAGAGCACAAAGCTGCTTCTCAAAAGGCGGCTGAAGCATGGGTGTTTTTGTGTACAAAACCTGCTTCCCTCCTCTCTCCGTGCAGGAGGTTGTGCCCACTCCAACAGCTAAACCAGGGGCTTAACATGCTCCCGGTTTCATTATTTCATTAAAAAAGAAACCGTGATGCAGCCTGAGCAGACACGCGTCATCTCTCGGCTGCTCCGGGAACACCGAGCATCCCTTTGAAGTTCAGCTGACTGAAAGCGCTGGTGGCCACGGGCCAAGGGAAATCACCGCCCGGCTCCCCGCGCTCGCCACTGCTGGCCCACTTCCTTTGGCCCGCAGAAGCTCAGAGCCGAAGCATGGCTTCCTGCTGGACCGGGAATTAAAGCACATTGGTGCGGCTGGCTCATCAGCAGTTCAGGGCAAGAGGGGCTGCTTTGGGGCCTGACGTCTCTCTCGGAACAACATGCACAGCTAATTGCTTCCCGAGACCAGCAAAGTCAGCACCGCTCCTGGCTACCAGCGGAAACAAGGCTTACAAAGCAAGCGGGTCTACACCGAGTGTAACCACTCAGGGGAAAAAGCCCTGAATGGCATCGCAGCTGGCCGGGTGAAAAGCTCTGCTCAGCGTGCTGCAGCAGATAAAGCCCCAGTGCTGGCCTGTTTGAAGAAGGAGGTTTTGAAAATAATCCTGAAAATATTATGATGCTGTGCAGCAAAGCAACTGTAGGTCTTCAGCTGGAGTACTGCAGCTAGTGGGGTCATCCCCTTCATCAAAAAAGGAGGAGGACAGGGAGAAAGGAAGGATCAAGGTGTGGATGAGGAAAGTCTGAAGGGGCTGTGACTGTCTTTGAAGAGAAGATTGAGAGGAGAAAGAAAGAGAACTCTTCTCTCTCTCAAGTGCAAGAACAAAGGAGGTTCCATGAATGTGAAAACACAAATAGTTAAAATGAACATAAATTATATGAGACAAAATAACATGCAGCACTCTCCACCATAAAGATATAAAACTAAATCAAAAGCTCACTAGGACCTGAAAGAACGTTTGGCACTTGTATGAATAGGATCAACACAAAACCACGTTAACTAGGAAAAACTTTGTTGTATGGACACAGACTCTGTTGTGTCAAGGCACAAGCAGCCACAGAGTTAGCAAGAAACATCCCAGCAGGTTAGCCCATAATTGGAAATACCGTACTTGGGCTTGCCGCAGGATCAGTGGCTTACTTGGCCATGGCTTTCTGGGCTATAGTCATGAAGACAGGGTGGAGAGCAAGGCGTGCTGCCGAGCAGGGCCGACAGAGTCCAGGCTGCTCCTGGAGATTGCTCAGGCCACACTGAGCCATGACACGAGAGATGCCAAGCCCGTGTGTAAGATGCAGTCTCTCTCACCCTGAATTGATGTTCATGGGGTCTTCACCATGCTGACCTCATACCCCTGAAGAGCTGAGGAAGGCATGACAGGGAGCCTGCTGCCGCTTATGTCTGGGGCCAACATAAATTTTGCAGTTGCAAAAAATCCATGGAGATGAACTGAAGTGTCCCAAAGCCACAGAAAAGTGCCATCCACAAATATTCTGGAGCTATGAGCTGCAGCGATGGAGGGCCCCCAGTCCCATATGATGGGCAGAGAGGGGGTGGGAAGGTTGGATCTGTGGCCAGTACCCCAGGAATCTGAGCTCTTTGCTATTAACACTATTGGTGGGGGCAATGAAGATCACATTTCACTCCCCAGTCCAGCCCCACTGAAGCCACCAGTTCAGCTACAATCCCCAGGGGAAGCCAGGATTTCAAGCCCTTTGCAGTGAGTACCGCAGTCAGTGCTTTCAAATGCTCAAACCGTGCACCGGCTGCTCAGCAGATATGAGAGCAGCTTAACATTCTCTTGCCAAACTTAAATCCCCTCTTTTTGCTTCAGCATAATCCCCTTTTCTGCTTCAGGAATGTCCATTTCCGTAAGCAACTTCTAAGGCTTTCCGGACTGCCAATATCACACACAAGATCCTCTGCCTTTGCTCGGTGCAGGCACAGCCAGCTGAAATGCTGCCATTAAAAACTCACAACAAAGACAGCATGCGAGATGCACTCCTTTCCAGCAGTGGAGAGATTGCTTTTTTTCCTCCTCCTGAAGCTTGGCAAAAAAGCAGAGCATGTTGTGTTTCAAAGATATTTCCGTACAGGAGAGATTTCTCTAGAAAAGTAGGGCCAGAAGGAAACATTATTAGACTCAAAATCTCCTTACCCTCCCAAGCTCTTTGTCCTCCAGAGCCAGCACTCCCGTGCTCTCTGTGAACAGCTTCACCTTCACTGCAGGAAGCGCATGTGTTGTCGTGAAGTCTCCTTGGGTGCCCCAGCTGTGAAAATAAGGACAGAGATGTTCAGCTCCACCAGCAGGTCAGCAGCACTACACTTTGGGCATGCAATGGTTAACTGAAAACGTCCTGTCTGGTACAAGCCGAAGTGGCCAGGCTGAGTGACAAAGGCATTAACTATCTTCTTTGGGAAACGTGGGACAGATGTTTGGAAAACCCATGATGGTTCTTTGGGGAAAAAAAAGAGTATTTGGGAGTAGCATGAAACCAAATTTAAGAGAAATTTTATTTAGAAAGAACAGTAAGTCTCCTCCAGTGACAACCTGTATAGTCACAACAGAAGTTGAGGATCGAGAACATCTGCACGCAGGACATCTGCAATCGCTCATGACTCTGCTATTCTCTTGGTTAATTAACCTCTCCTTTCCAGGTTGATAGTGAAGTTTGCTTTCTCTGAAGAACCCCCAGTTTAACCTGGGTCCTCTTCCAAGCCCCAGCCCAGCCCTCCAGCCCAGCCCAGGTTTAAGTTCAAGCTATTATGTCTGGAGTAATCCTAGTTTGCTGGGACCGCAGAGCAGGACACCAGCTCCTTGGGAACAGGACAGCAGTGGCCAGGAAGTAGCCACCTCTCCAGCTATGCAGCGAGCCGAGACCGCTGTCTACTGTTTGTACCCCATAAGTCACCCCCGGCTGGTCCCATGGCGTGGAAAGGAGCACTATGGAGGCTGAATGACCCACAGTGTGCGAAAACCCCCTGCAGACCTGCACGTTTCTAGAGGACACCTCCGAGCTCCCGCAAGCACGAGCCATCCGAGTGTGCAGAGAACACGAATTCATTCCACGTGAATGAATTTCACTTCAGCCACAGTCTGCTGACACCTATGGCCGAACTTGCCGTTTGAAGGCCCCCGAGGGGAGCCCACCTCTCAGCTGACCTTCCCCACGCGTGTGGGAACCGCAGCAGTCCTGCGGCCCTCCGGAAGGAGGTCTGGCGCCTTCCCCACGCATGTGGGAGCCGCAGCAGTCCTGCGGCCCTCCGGAAGGAGGTCTGGCGACGGGCCTGAGCCTGTCGCCCTCGAGGTTTCCTCTCTCAACCCGGACACTTGGGGAAGCTTTGGGGACAGTTTCCAGGACTTTCCTCCTGAGCCCTGTTCCCGTGCCAGCGAGCAGCGTGCTGCAGCTGGAGCTGCTGCCTGGTGACACCCGCGAGGGCTCAGCTGAGCTGCGCTGGTGAGCATCCTCGTGGGGTTCTTCTAAAGATCCCCGGACCTTACACAGCAGTCAGCTG